CATCGAGGCCAGCATTTCGCATGATGTACTCTGCATATAAATTAAATAAACAGGGTGACAATATACATCCTTGTTGTACTCCTTTTTCTATGCTAAAACAATCAGTTGTTCCATATCTGGTTCTAACTGTAGCTTCTTAACCCTTATACAGGTTTCTCAGGAGACGGTGGTCTGGTACTCCCATCACTTTAAGGACTTGCCACAGTTTGTTGTGATCCACACAATCAAAGACTTTAGCATAGTCAATGAAGCAGAAGTAGATATTTTTCTGGAACTCCCTTGCTTTTTCCATAATCCAACGAATGTTGGCAATTTGATCTCTAGTTCCTCTACCTCTTCGAAACCCAGCTTGTACTTCTGGCAGTTCTCTGTCTACATATTTATTTATTTATTTATTTATTTATTTATATATTTATATTTATTTATTTATTCAATTTAAACCCCTCCCTCCCTGCCAGAGCAGGCTCTTTGGGGTGCTGTAACTTGGATCCCGTATATCCAATCCTCATCCAACGTGGAGGCCAGATAGAGGAGAGGAGAGTCAGCTGAAGATCCCCTGTGATTTTGGCATCTTTAGCATACTAGGGGGCTGTTCTACCAGGTCACAAACCTCATGAATGGAACGGTTTCGTTTGACATGTATAAGTTCATGAAGTTTCACAGTTTGCAAATCGGGCACACCACGAACCAAACTGCATTTTCCCAGTTTTTGCCCTTTCCTATACTTAAACGTCACCAAAAAGGGGCAGAGGCTATTGTATCTGTACTGTAACAATAAAATGCTGGAAAAAACATACTAAAAGCAATTACAGTAGTAGCAACATCCATTTGTGCATTCAATCAACACAAAGTAAAAAGGGAGTGAGCACACTGGCTCATGAACACAGTGTCTACTTGTGGATGAACTGCAAACACGATCGTGAACACAGTGTCTACTTGTGGATGAACTGTAAACACGATCAGGGACATGGCTTTTCAAATGTTCCCGCTGCAAGCATATAACGTGAGCATTCTCATGCCTTTGCATAAGCATCTTAGCAAAGAGACTGTAATGTATAGGTACTCCATACACAAATGCATCATAACAGATTTTTTAAAAAGGTATAAACATGTTTGGGTCTCTGAATGACCTAATGATCTAAAATCTTCATAAAAGTCCTGGAAGTGTTATGAGTTCACAAAAAGAACCTTCTTTAAAACTGGGCTGATATACAAGGCAATGGGTGAACACAGACGCCCAAATATGGATTTATTCCTTAGTACTAGAAGAAGTCAGAGTCAACTCACGCAATTGGAGAAAATGGCACCTCATTGTTTTTTCCATCTTTCCTGTAAAATTGACAAGTTTTAAAAGGATTAGTACCAAAACAAACACACATTTCCTCACGTGTCTCCTTCACTAACCCCTACTAGATTTCGCTAATACATCCACATTATGCTATAAATTTTAAATGCTTTTCAAGTAGCAGCTTGAATGTATTCACAGGAGGTAAGTAATATATTTATACCAGACTTCAAGAAAGCTAATTCTCCTACTACAACGCAAAACACTATACCCACAAACTCCACACAGATAAACCCACTCATTTCGCATTGCAGCATGAAATGGGTGCAGCGTGAAATGAAATACATTTTCTATAGAACAGCAGACCCATAACTTCCATACATACAATCAAGGCAAAAAAAACCCAGGATTCTGGTCGGGTCAAGATGGCGAATTAACGCACCCCGTAACTGTGCGGGGTGAGCGACGGCTCCTTTCGACAGCTTGGGCTTGTTTAGCCTAACGCAGCAGCCCCCAGTAAGGAGGGATGACAAGTAAGCAGCGGTGCCCAAGTAGAAGTAGAGTTCAGCGTGATTAAGCCTCGGACCTGGAACAATTTCTTCCAGACCATTATTACAATCAAAAGGAAAAAAACGAGCTTTCAGGGTCAAAGAAAATATGTTTTTCCCCCTTACATCAGAAAAAAGCAAAATTTTAGGGCCCATGACCCAGGATTCTGGTCGGGTCAAGATGGCGAATTAACGCACCCCGTAACTGTGCGGGGTGAGCGACGGCTCCTTTCGACAGCTTGGGCTTGTTTAGCCTAACGCAGCAGCCCCCAGTAAGGAGGGATGACAAGTAAGCAGCGGTGCCCAAGTAGAAGTAGAGTTCAGCGTGATTAAGCCTCGGACCTGGAACAATTTCTTCCAGACCATTATTACAATCAAAAGGAAAAAAACGAGCTTTCAGGGTCAAAGAAAATATGTTTTTCCCCCTTACATCAGAAAAAAGCAAAATTTTAGGGCCCATAAAAATCTATTAAATTTTGCCTAAACCAGAAAAAAAAATAAAAAGTTGAAGTATTTAAAGTTATATCAAACATAATTTTTAATACTGATATTATTGTGGGAGGGGCCCGTGAAGCCAAAAGTGCCTAGGGCCAATGAAAGTCATAATGCGGTCTTGTCAGGAAGGAGGAGCACTGAAGGAATGCCAAATGAACCAAAATAGTCTTCTCCAGCTTCCCAAAAATGGCAACAGAAGGAAACAGATGAGTCTTTCCAGGGCAGAGAGTCCTAGAGTTTTGGTGTCCTTCAACAGGAGAGCAACACCATCCAGAATGGGCAACACCTAAAATTCTAGGCCAGACCTTCTGCTCACCAGTAGTACCTATGTTTTTGTCAGGATTAAACGCCGGTTTATTAGTCTGCTTCCACTCTAAAACTGCCTCCAGGCACCGGTTCAGGGTTTCTACGGCCTCCCTGGAATCAGCTGGAAGTGCAAGAGGAGCACTGAAAGAATGCCAAATGAACCAAAATAGTCTTCCCCAGCTTCCCAAAAATGACAACAGAAGGAAACAGATGAGTCTTTCCAGGGCAGAGAGTCGCCCAGCTACATGACCAGCGTGCTGGCGTCACGTCTGGGCGATGGCATGGTGCGGCGCGTTTATTTTCTGTGCGGGAATGTTCCTGACAAGAAGTATGAGTCCCCCGCCGGTTCGAGGTAGGTACTTGGTAAGCCTAGCGACAACCCAGCCCAAATCTCCAGATCACTTCACACAGAGGTTACATGTAGATGTGAAAGAGCATAGGGGATAAACAAGGAACCTAGGAGGATCCTATAAGCCAAAGGCCAAGGGGTGAGCAGCAGTCTCCTAGCACCATCATCTGAAAACTGCTCTCAAGGTAGGACTGGGACCACCACAGAACGGTGCCTCCCCATCTCATCCGGGAAAGGTAATCCAGAAGAATACTATGAATGATGGTTTTGAAAGCCACAGAGAAGTCCATGAGAATCAACAGAGTCACACTCCCTCGGCCCCGCTCCTGGCATTGGTCACCCACCAAGACAATCAAGGCTGTTTCAGTACCACAACCAGGCTTAACACACAGCTGGAAAGGATCTAAGTTTCCCTCATCCAAGAAGGCCTGGATGGAGTTGAGCTTAATGTAATAGAGAAGGATAGGGGGGGGGAAATTATTAGGGCTGCTAAAAACCCTAATAATGGTTTGTTTAAATTTAAAAATGGGCTGAAACCAGTTTAAATTGCTGTGGCTTCTCCCAGGACCTCTGAAACTGTAGTTTCACAAAGATGGTGATAAATTATCAGCCATTAGGAATGTGCAAAAAAAATGTTATTTTTCTGATTCAGGGTTTTTGGACCCTTAAAAATTTGTTATTGCCTTGAAAACCTGAATTCCAGTATCGGCATTGTATTGGAATTTTTCGGCTCCATTATACCCTATGGGACCATTATAGTTATTGGCCAATCTCCTAGGGTATATTCAGTGGGCTGGAGGGGGGGGGCGCTGAGGTAGATGCACCAAATTTGCAATGTAGCTGCTGAAGCCTCTCCCCAAAAGAACCACCAAGTTTCAAAAAGATTGGACCAGGGGGGGTCCAATTCTATGGGCACCCAAAGAGGAAAAAAGCAAGGCAGTAGAAAGTGAGGTGTGGGGAGCGGGCATGTTTGCAAGGCCAGCAGCAGAACCAGTGCAATGTGCCCAGTAGAACCAGTGCCACTCTGGCAATGCCGAAACCGAACAGATTTGACCTTAGTCCTGTTGGGTTTTGGCACTGCCAGAGTGGCATTTGCTCTGCTGGGCACATTTTGCACTCGATCTGCTGCTGTTCAAATATGTGAAACAGAAGCTTTAGTAATGTTCATTATGAAACATTAAAAACACTGGATCATCATGAAATTGCCTACTGTACAGCACCTTCTCTTTTTCCAAAAGATGAAACCCACTATTGCGGCGACAAGAGCAGCACCCAGAATACATCCAACAACGGCTCCCGTGATAACATCTTGAAAAGAAATAGGGACAGTTGTTACAATGAACATCTACCACAACCACAGTAATGAGTTCTAAAAACGGAAGTGCTGCAATACAGTAAAATGTTGAGAACCATCTAGCTTTGCTTTTCAGATTCAGCATTAAGATTGTATTTGGTTATCCATGTTTAAATATGGAAGAAACTTGTAGTGTCATAGCTACAATTCTGAAACTCCTATTATCCAAAAGATTGAAAATGTTAATACTACTGGCTGAATCTTGTAAGTACGAAAGAAGACTTAAAAGAATGTTGAGAAGAACATTAATTGTAAGTTCACTGGAGACAGGAGGTTACATCATTTATTAAGCAAGTATTTGCACAGGAAACGTATTGCAGACTACTAACAATAATTGAGATCACTCTTCTAATTTTTGAAAGGCTTTACACTTTTATTGTATACACACACTCCCCACCACCACTCTGCATCTGTCCTATGAGGTATCTCACTATATATTCCATTTTTCAGATTGTGAAATACTCTGAGATGGATGTGTGTCATACAGCTGTGGCAAGTTCTGGCTCTCCAACAATGTGCCTCCCCTTCAAGGGCAACACAGTGGCAAATGCTGGTGTATTTAGAGCAAACAGGTGTCCTGCATATATGTGAACAAGACCAGAGTCTCTGGCAGCTGTGAGATTTGGGCTAGGTCCTCTTTTCCTCTGGTACTTGCAAGGAGAAAGAATAGGGCAGGGAGATAGGCAGCAGTGGGAAAGGCAGGAAAGGCTTCCTTTTATAGTCTCCCAGATAAAGCAGGTGGAAGAAGATCAGAGACCAGGTGGGGGTGGGGCCAAGGAATCCTATAAATAGGAAGGCACCACATCTGGCCTGGGAGGAAGAAGCAGACTGAGCTCAGACCAGGGAGAGAACATCTGGAGAGCCCGAAAGAAGAGGACCTGGGTACTAGAACCCTTCTCCTTTCCGATTCTGAGACTGGTGGGCCAGTTGCTGTCCTTGGTGGTAGGATGGTGGATGGCAGGGAAACAGTCTCAGGTGTGGGAGAGCCTCAGGCCGATTTCCCACAAGCGCTGCTCCACGTTTGCTCTTCCCTTTTGCCCCGATGGTACGTGTCAATTTCACACAAGCTGCTGCGTGGCCGCATTTTGCCCCGCAGCTTCGTGCGATTTCCCCCGCATCTACTCAATCCTCAAAAAACAGGATTGAGTAGACACGGGGAAAATCACACAAAGGGAAGAGCGAGCGTGGAGCAGCGCTTGTGGGAAATCGGTCTCACATTTCCTTTGCAGAAAAATTAAGAAGTCCTCAGACTTTTTCCATGTGGCACATCTTCTGTTAGAAAACACTGCCTTAACTCATTCTAAAGGGTAAAATATTTCATAGGAGGTTTTTTCAGTGCTCTGCCAACTTTTCTGTTGCAAAAATGGGGGGGGGATCTGTGAAAAAGCCCCCCCATACCTTCACATCTCTATTTATTTATTATTTATTAATCACATTTATACCCCGCCCTCCCCGCAATGCAGGCACAGGGTGGTTAAGGAGAATGGGCCCGGGTTCACCAGCTGAAATGCCAAATAAATACTAAGAACAAAATGTCAATAATTATACCTGGATTTTGGGGTAAGTCTACAGATCCAGAGAAGTCCGAAAATGAGACATAACTTTCCCTTGAACTGATAGAGTCATCAGTAAAAATGATACGAGTGAAACCAGCCACACATGCCCTAATGAAAAGTGACAAGAAAAATAGTCATTAAGCTGCAATAGCATCAGAGTTGGATAATTTCTTATCTGAAGTTTGGGTCACATGAAAGATTCAGGAAAATAAGGTTCAAAGACTTCATAAAAAATACCTATAGGAGCCAAGGGGACGCAGCTTCCCATTGAAATAGCCATGACTGGTTGATCCATCTCCTATTTCAATATCATAATCATCAGCGTTAGAGGAATTTTGCACATCTTTGACATATGCGACATAAGAATCTGTTTTTTCCTTCGCAAAATCCTGATAGGTGCCTGTCAAGGACTCATTGCTGCATTTCATTTCTGTACGGAAAAAAGTACATGATAAAATAATTTTAATGTAAAGGCTGAATGATAGGCAGCACATTATTAATAGTGGCCACGAGAATCAGAGAACACTAGAGGTGAAATATCCATCTTTTATGTCTTTCAGCAGCATATTATCTGAAATCAAAAGACTGAATAAGACACAGACTCTTATATATTTTAGCTGTTACTGGCCTAGCAAAACTCTCTGATGGCTAGAACACGCCCTACATCCAAGAATGCATGTTCAAACATTTCTGAACAACAGCTTTCAAAATATGGTTTACTCATCAGATCTTCAGTCTGTATAAAATAGTCCCCAAAGCACCTACTGGTGGTTTCTTCTGAGAACAGAACTGCAAACAGCTTCTCATCAAGGCTTATCTAAAACTGGATGTCAAAGTTTGTGTAACCTGGACACTGAGACAGCAATGGAACAGGAATTTGAGAAGTAAACCTGAATTGGCATGAAAGGGCTGTGGCTCACTGGAAGAGCCTCTGCTTGGCATGCAGAAGGTCCCAGGTCCAATCCCTGGCATCTCCAGTTAAAAGGCTCAGGTAGGAGGTGATGGGAAAGACCTCTGCCTGAGACCCTGGAGAACCCCTGCTGGTTTCAGTAGACAATATTGACTCTGATGGACCAAAGGTCTGATTCAGTATAAGACAACTTCATGCGTTCATGAAGCCTAAACAAAGTTTTTCTTCCTTTTTTAAAAAAAAGGGATAAAACAAAAACGAAAAGTATATCGTATTCAGGCTTTCTAAGTAAAGGTCTTGGCTAGGGGGTATGCATTCAGGTCTACCCAAACTGAAAATATACCTAAAAAACATGGTATTGGTATTTTTTTGAGTACATTTCAGCATCCCAAATGTATCCGAGTTTTCTTGAGAAAAATGTGTGTGTGTGTGATCCTGAAAAAATCCCGGATATATTCGGGAATTACCGGTAGATACTAAAACAGAGGAGAGGAAAGAGCAGATTGCTCCCGCCTCTCAGCTGTTTGTTGGGCTCCTACCGCAGTCCCTTTAATGTCCCCGCAGCATGCAGATCAAGGAGCTGGCTCCTCCTGCAGCCTGGTTTTAACCAGGCTGCAGAAGCCGTCCCAGCTAGGATCTGTGTGCCTTAGGGATCAACCTCCCCAAGGGAGGTTTGGTTCCTTCTGCAGCACAGTTTTGGGAAGACATTAGAGAGAGGTTGCGTTGATTCACATTATTGTCATTCAAAATCCTGCTTGTGCCAGGGCAAGAGATTGGTGACAAACACCAACTGAGAGATAGAGTTGAAAAAGACATACGAAACTGCTGTTTAATCCTAGGAAAGCGTGTTCTCTTTACCTCTTACATTCCTTGGAACTACATGTTTTCAAATGAAGGAGTGATTAACACTGTTCGGGAACTCGTATATCGAGGACTTCTCAGTTTGCTTTGCACACTTTACAGATCCATTAAGATGTCTCAAAGAGTAAACATTCCAGGAGCTCAGTCAAAACAACCTCAAGAATAACGACATCAAGATTTTGTATTGTACTCCTATTATCATTTACTGGCTTTGTTTATGTCCAGGAACGGGGGTGGCTTTTTTGGGTTTTTTTTCCATTCTGTATTTTTATTCTTGGTTTTACTGGACCTGAAATATTTGGGGGTTTCTGAAAAATCCCAGATCCAAATACTGTACTGGAATTGGGATTTTTTTTTGGAAATACCGAATTTTTTTCGGGTCCGATAGACCCAAACCCCAAAATACCAAATTAAAAAAAAATCGCACACCCCTAGTCTGAGCTCTAGATCAGTGATGAACAAGCCCTCACCCCACTCTGCTCTGGAAATAATTTACAAAACCAAGATTATATAGCTAAATATCTGATAGCAAAAAATGTAGCTTCTAAATTGTGTTCAGGATATTCCACTAAGCCCCCCAGCACAGTCTTTTCTGTAACTCCTTCTTTCTTTAACATATTCAGGAGGGGGAGGGGGCTCACTTCAGGCACTGCAACAGCCCTCCCTTTAATTTATTTATTTTATTTATTTACCTTCAATTTATATCCTGCCTTGCCGGTGCAAACTGGCTCAAGGTGGCATACACAAGTTAAAATACAATAAAACCAATAAATACAACAAAATTTCATTACGAACAATTATATAAAGTGCTAAATATAAACAGATGGCGGGAAATTTCTATACATAGTCTGCTGGAGAGAGGCCATATCCGGCGTTGTTACATAGGGCTGTGGTATGTTCAGTTTGCAATAGTTGTCAGTGGTGGCTCCTAATTGAAGGCCTGGTGGAAGGGCTCCGTTTTACAGGCCCTGCGGAACTGTAAAAGGTCCCGCAGGGCCCTGATGTCCTCCGGGAGCTCATTCCACCAGTGTGGAACCGCCACTGAAAAAGCCCTAGACCTTGTAATGGCCAATCTGGCATCTGTCAGGTGAGTCAGGCGATTAGGGAGAGTCAGGCGATTTTGTGACCCTGACCTCAGTGCTCTCTGGGGCACATATGGGGAAAGGCGGTCCCTCAGGTAGGCAGGCCCCCGACACTGCATGCTGCCAGGAAAAGCTAGGGAAGCGTGGAAACTACATTTCCCATGGTTCCAACTGTCTCTGGATGTTGTTGCACATGCTCACAGTAGTGTTCCGGAATGAAAGAGAGGTGATGACATGAGCCTTCCCTGCTACGTTAGGGAAGTTATGGAAGAGGGGAGGGAGTGCCGACCATGGAAATCAGGGTCAGTAATTGGGATGGACTGAAAGGGATCTAATTAGGTCCAGACTCATGAAAGCACCCGGTTACACAATCACTCCTGTTTTTTAGGCCAATCTCTCTTGTTACTTGCAAATGATTAAAGAAATAAACATTGATTTTCCTTTCGCTTGACAATCCATAATCAGCAAAATAAATACCCTGCTTCCACACAATGGATGATGGGAAGACTATTACAGCAGGGGAGCAGCCCTACTGCTTGAGATAGGTAAGCAACCAAATATTGCTGTTTCCATGACGATGACTGTGACAGCCCCACAAAAGAAGAACTTCCTTGAAGTTGGAGACCTGGATCTTAAGCAAATGGTTGTTCCTTTACTACACAAACACCCACTGGGAAGATACGGATCTCTCTGCTTCCGGCATAAAGTCAGATTTTTAAAACAATGACCAAGTGAGTAGTATGCAATGTTTACCTTTTGATGTAATTATTACTGCATATGCTTTTAAGGGTCCATAAATGGAATTGAAAGGGCTGAACTGAACTTTCAAAGAATTGTGGCTAGTTGGCTCCAGAGCAGGCTTTTGAGAGGGAACTGGAGGGTCTACACAGCAAAACAAAGAAACGGTAACAAGTTGATCAAGACATGGAAGAAATGTGACGTCGACAGCTCAACTCTCTTTTGAAAAACTACAAAGAAACATCTTCCATTGCTTGTGAGGGCAATGAACAATCTACTCAGTGATGTTCTGTACACTGCATCAGGCATGCAAAGGCTACGTGAAACACCTACTGCAGATGCTGCACATCTGCAAACTCTTGATACGGGTCACCAACTGGATCCTCCCCATTGTGAAGAATCTGAAGGCCATTACCAGCAACCACAAGTGGTAGTGGCATGGAGGATCCAGGCGCTTAAACGGCATTACGCATTATAGCTGCAGCACAGTGAATCCACTGTATGTTTGCAGTGACCTACAAGTAGCACCTTATTCTCATTTTAATGACAGTTATGATACAGTAAATGTATTAAAGTAAACCAGCACTAAAAAGTGTAGCAGATGCAATAAATTGCTAATGGAACACCCATGGCCAACACCAGGGAATGTAGCTCCTCCACAGCAATAAAAATCCCTTCTGTTAGTGATTCAAGCTTAATACGTTCTGGCACTGCTGTAAGATTTCCTTTGTGTCAACTGCCATTAAACTTCTAGAATTAAGCCTGTTCTATGAATGGGACTGAATGGGACTCCAGACATGTAACCAAATCATAAAAGAAGAAGAAGAGAAGAGATTGGATTTATACCCCACCCTTCACTATCCAGAAGAGTCTCAGAGCAGCTTACAAACTCCTATCCCTTCCCCTCCCCACAACAGACACCCTGTGAGGTCGATGGGCCCAGAGAGCTCTTGACAGAAACTGCTCTTTTTCAAGGACAGCTCTTATCAGAACTACGGCTTGCCCAAGGTCATCCAGTCAGGTGCAAGTGGAGGAGTGGGGAATCAAACCCGGTTCTCCCAGATTAGAGTCCACGCACTTAACCACTATACAAAACTGGCTCTCATTTTAAAATGCTAAAAACCATTTTAGCAGACCTGTATAATTCCATATTTCATGTATTCTCAAGGATAATAGGGTCAGTTGTGCAATACTGGTTCACGCCATTTCATTTAAAAATAAGGTGAATACTAGAATATATTGGAATACAATGAATCTGCCACTGGCATAGTGAAAGTACTATGCCTAAGCTAAATTGATCAGAAACACATTGGAGAAAATGTCAGTTTTAATACTATGCCATTTTCTGTTCTAACAAAACAAAAACACTAGAAATACATTGGGTGCTGCCCAATATATCACACATGGAAAATTTCAGTTATCAACATAATTTAATTTAGCTTTTCCTTTTCAATACTGGGTGTGTTGGGAAAAATTTTTTGGTTGAAAGGATCATTTTACCCTGATCCATTGATCACTATGAAAACTAGCTATTCAACATGTGAAGCTGTAGCTCAAACTCAGTTTCAGTTCCTGCAAACTGAATTGGTCTTTGCAAGGTTTTAATACTTCCAAAATGACCTCAATATATTTTCCCCTACAACATTTCCCACAATGATATACATGGTTAGACCAAATCCATTAAGTAAATGGCAGTTTCTAAGCTCTCCACTGTTTGCAAACTTCTGGCAAATTAAGATGGGGGCCATCTGAACTGTACAGAACATGGGGCGCTATTGAGCACAATTGTTTTTTATAAGTTAGATTTGTATTTCTGAACAAAACCATATAGTTGTTTATGTCAACATGGAGTCAAAATCAGATTTATCAACTGTGACATAATTGGGGCACAGTTTACCAATATAGTCAGTTTTAAAGGAATGAGATGGTTAAAGTAAAGGTAAAGGTTTCCCTTGCTCGAAAGCCAGTCGAATCCGACTCTAGGGTTGTGGTGCTCATCTCCGTTTCCAAGCCGAAGAGCCAGTGCTGCCCGAAGACGTTTCCATGGTCATGTGGCCGGCATGACTAAACACCAAGGCGCACGGAACTCTGTTACCTTCCCACTGAAGTGGTACCTATTTATCTACTTGCAATTTCTTGCTTTCAAACTGCTAGGCTGGCAGGAGCTGGAACTAGAGACGGGAGCTCACTCCGTCATGCGGCACACTCGGGTCTCGAACTGCTGAACTACCGACCTTCCACAGCCTGCAGTTCAGCGTCTTAACCACTTGAGCCACCGCAGCTCCAATTAAGCAGGCATAAAAATAACTTTTATATAAAACATGTATTTTAGTGAGATGTTCTGTTTTTCCTGCATGTTTAAGATTGTTCTCCCTCATTACATCCCTAGAGAAGGATTACAAGTTGAAATAAACTACGTGGAAGGTTTGCCATACGTCAGTCATTGATACTGAGGACAACAGACAATACTTGGAAAATACAAGGCAGTTTTCAAGTGGGCAGGTATTTTACCTTTCATCACAAAGGTTTAAATGTTATGACCATAGCTATGTCTATTATCTTTGCCTATTATCCACTTCAATCGATGTCCATTATCCACGGCGTCATTCAGAAACGTGTTATCTACAAGCAGACTTCCTCACCCTGCAACCAACTTGGACAAGGAGGCTTGATGCTTACCAGTGATACTTGTAAGACATGTTTTTTCCTGAGGAGGAAAGCTCGATTCCCCACACGAATGGGTGACAATCCTGACAGTATAGCTGACAAAATAACTCAGATCTTTTATTAGGGCACCCTGATCTTCTGAGCTGTAATCTTTCGTTCTGATTAAAGTACCGGTACCGTTTGAGATCTCAATTGTGAAGCTATTAAAAATGCCATCGGGAGGAAGCCAGCTTAGATTCAGTTCTGGCTGCTTAGGCACTGGTAGACAGTTCAGTGTATACACTCGTCCTGCAACTACAATGGAACAAGGAGGAGAGATGAAAAAGTAAAATAGTCATTAAACTGATCGCATAACGTGCAATGTCTGAACGACTGATTTATAGTATTGCGTTGGGGAAAAAACACCGTATTTCTTCCTGCCGGGCTTTTACTGCCTTGTAACATACTTGACATACTTTCATAGCCCCCGGGCACACGGGCCGGATATCGTGCGGGGGGAGGCGTGGCTAATTGCCCCGGCACAGTTTGATCCGCGATTACGCGATCAGACGCGCCGGCGGCACAGCACGGGTCCTTCCCTCGGCGCCAGCGGGTAAACGAGGGACCAGAGGGGAATGCCGTGCGCCGGCGCAATCACACCACGGGCGTCTGGAGGCAGCCCGTGGCAAACGTTTACTAGTACCTTGGAGGTACTAGTTTTTAAATCCGCATTGTCGGTGGTAAGCCACGGGTGCGCTCCACTTCCCAGATGTTGGGGTGTGATCGCGCTCGGATAATCCGCCCACCTTTTGTGCCTCTCCCACGGCAACTTTGCCGTGTGACCGGGGCCATAGATAACTTAATACTTGTAGTAATGGGGGAAAAATCTGTGGCAAAGCAATGCAAAGTAAAAACCCTGCTAACTTTATAGTAATATCTCCAACATACTTAAGGGCCAGAACTACATGCATGGATTTATGACTGAACTTCAGAGTGCTTATAACATAAATTGGGATACGTTGTTGGTAAAAGGGACTTGTCCTAAGGGAAAAAATGCTCAGCCTTCTATATAGTATTTTTTTCCTAACCCAAACAGTCTTCTACTAAAACAAACTGAATTACCTGTAGTTATATATTTGAAAAACTAAAGGACTTGCAAGGGACAACTAATTATCCCCTGGTATTTCCGCCTCCCAACAGTATTCCTTCCAGTATGTCCTTTCCCTGGCAAACCCCATATCCTCACCTTTCCCTGCTTCTTTCTCTCCTTCCACATACCAACTAACCTATATCTACCTCCAGTCTTCAGCTTTTCATCCCACTGCAGCCTCTTGCTTTTTCTTCTCTCCCACCCACCTACTTTTTTCTGCTTTCCCTCCTTCAGTTTTATGTCCTTCTTTTCCCTTTCCCTGCTTCCTTCCATTCCTTCCATTGTTCACTTTTTCAGCCCCACCCCCTTTGACTGACAATAACCAAGGTAAGGAAGTCTCAGCAATACTGTTGTGGATGCCCAGCAATCCCCAAAGGGCTTTCTATGTTGCTTTGATTATTTGAGTGGGGTTAACGCCCCCCCCCTGTAATTGTAAGATTTCAGATTTTCAGAAAAGCTTCCCCTGCCCCATGTCCCCATTGTATGGATTTCTGATCTACATTCTAGAGCCCATGACAGAATTGGGGTGGGTACGTCTTCACCCAAAGAGTGATTAACACACAGAATTCACTGCCACAGGAGGCAGTGGCGGCTACAAGCATGGACGGCTTCAAGAGGGAATTGGATAAACATATGGAGCAGAGATCCATCAGTGGCTATTAGCCACAAGGTATAGATAGGAACTCTCAGTCTGTGACAAGTGATGCTCTGTATTCTTGGTGCTTGGTTTCCTCACAAGTAGCATAGCGAAGAACCAGGAAAATGTTGGCATCAGGGGTCAGCATGGTTGGGCACCTGCTGAGGCTCATGGCTCTGAAAGCTCACCTTGGACTGAAACGATAGTGTCAATCTTCCATTTCTTAATGAGAAATGTGCCTGGATGCAGTGAAAGTAGCAAAGTGCAAGAGAAGTACTGGCCCCACTGCTGGACCTCCTGATGGCACTGGTATTTCTGGCCACTGTGTGACACAGAGTGTTGGACTGGATGGGCCTTTGGCCTGATCCAACATTGGCGTCTCTTATGTTCTTATGTTCTTAAGTACATGTTCTGCTGCTTCCTCTATGCATTCCCCTACCAGGAAGAGAGAGATTGTAGAGGATGCTGAGGTAATATCCCATTTATTGATAGAAGAAACCTTGAAGGGCGCAGAGCACAAACTTTTTTGTTCTCCTTTCAGACTCAACAGATCTTCTCACTTTTCCTTCACTAGAAACAAGAGGGAAGAAGCAATGGCATTGCATGCTCACCTAGATCCCAAGAGAATTGCCCAATCCTTCCTCTCTCTACGTGTTTGTGTACATGTAGTTGGCACATGGCTTCTCCTCTTCCTCCCTCCCTACTACTAGAGCACCTTTCCATGGCCCCTTCAGCAAATGCCAAAGTTGAGTGAATGGTGGTATCATTGTCACTTACTGGTTCACCTTTGTGCGGGGAGTGAGTGAAAGAATAACAATAGCAACTAGGAGCAGCCTACAAAAGAACGTAAGAGAAGCTAATGTTGGATCAGGTCAATGGTTCATCCAGTCCAACATTCTGTCACACAGTGGCCAAAAATACCAGGTGCCATCAGGA